CTAGGGATTTCGTCTCTCCGTGGCAATCGGCACTGCATCCATGGATCGAGATTCCAACATCGCTTTGGAGTCGTATGTACTGTGTTAAAGTGGCGTAAGGTGTGAGGTCTGAATAGCTCAGTGGTAGGAGCAGTTGCCCGGAAAGCGAAAGACTCGGGTTCGATTCCCGATTCAGCCACTTGTACCTCGCATATTTTTTCAGACCCGCAAATGTTGTTTTCTAACAATTATTTGTCGGGCTGAGGAAGTGTGTAAACGCCCTACACAGACACGACAGCGCCGCTGCCACGGAAGAGATGGATGCTTGGTTCGCGCCTCCTCCCGCCTTAAATCCCCCCCTCGCTTCACTCTGCGGTGTACATCTGTGCCAGAACACAATTCCGTTACGAGATATAGTAGATCAGGAAACTCGGAAAATCGTAGTTTGTCATACAACTACCGCAATCAACGATTGGGACTTATTGTATCGATACTCTCGTTGGGATAAATTAATTCGAGTCACCGCTCTAGTTTTGCGTTTCATCGGGCTTCTTCGTAGTTGCGCGAAGAAGGATAAGCGTCTATTATCCTTAGTCGAGGAAAGAGAAGTTGCACGCTCGCTTTGGCTGACATATGTCCAGCAACGATCGTACAAAGATGAAATTTGCGCGTTGAAGCGATCTCGTCCAATTCCAAAGAATAGTTCGCTTCGCTTGTTGAGTCCGTTCTTAGATAGTGAAGGTCTCGTGCGATTGGGCGGACGTCTGCAACATGCGCACCTATCGTATAACGAAAAGTTTCCGATTATTTTACCGCGATATCAAATCAGCTCCTTGTTAATTGCACAAGCTCATCAACGGTCTCTATATGGCGGCACGCAATTAACTCTAAGAGTTTTACGTCAGCAATATTGGATTGTAAGTGCTCGCTCTCTCGTGCGAAATTACATTAACCATTGTGTCGTGTGCGTACGGGAACGTGCTAAGATGACGACTCAATTGATGGGTGCTTTGCCACCCGCGCGCGTGACTCCTTCCCCTCTTTTCGCTCATTGCGGCGTTGATTACACTGGACCGTTCTCGATCATTCCTTGAGTTGGTAGAGGACAACGGACTCAAAAGTACTACGTCGCGATTTTCGTTTGCCTCGCGACGCGTGCCGTTCATTTAGAACTTGTAGACGATTGCTCCACGAGCGCGTTTCTCGCCACCTTTCGACGATTCGTCAGTCGTCGAGGCATTCCATCAAACGTTTACTCCGATAACGGTACTAATTTTCAAGGAGCGGACCGCGAGCTCCGTCAAGCGTTCCATGTCGCGTGTAAAAATCCGGAATTACATGCTCTTCTAGCAAACGATGGGACCAGTTGGCATTTTATTCCCGCTAACGCTCCTCATTTTGGTGGACTATGGGAGGCTGCCGTGAAAAGCTTCAAACACCATCTACGCAGAGTGGTGGGAGTTTATTCGCTAGCTCAATTAGAGTTCGCGACACTGTTGTGCCAAATAGAGGCTTGTCTGAATTCGCGCCCCCTCGCTGCTCTAAAGGATGACCCTGAAGAACTTGCGGCTCTGACTCCGGCTCATTTTTTAATAAGGCGTCCATTGCTTAACATTCCAGAACCGTCTATGTTAACTGTCAACGAGAATCGTCTGTTGCGATGGCAGCATATTCAGGCGATGAATGAAACGATTTGGCGTGCCTGGTCGAAAGATTATCTGCACACCTTGCATCAGCGTTCGAAATGACAGTCTCTCAAGGCCGGGGTAAAGGTCGATGATTTAGTATTAATAAAAAACGATCAACTTCCCCCAGCGAAATGGGAACTTGCCCGAATAATTCAAATCCACCCGGGGCTTGATGGTCTAATTCGTGTCGTTACCGTGCGTACTGCGACGACTACCCGTACTCGACCGATTTCGAAAATTTGTCATCTAATCTCGGATTAAAGCTCACCAGAGTTAAGCGTCGATAAAATACTTATTAGCATTTATTCATATAACGTAAGGTTGAGTTTGTAATACTAGGTTAAGTTAGTTATAAAATACTAAGGTGCTGATCACCTTATAGGATTAATTTACCGTAAAATTTTTCTTTGAAACCACTCAGAATTTGCTGAGCTGGCTCGCGATTGATAGAAACCAGTCGCCTGTGATGTCCATTGCTTATCGATTGAATAATCATTTCGCCTCTATCGTGTCGCGGTGGGCGGCATGTTCCGGATTCGAGCAATTATAAACGCTTTTCGTTTCTCGTTTTATTATTCGTTTTGAAATCTTATTCGATCAATATGTTTCGGGCACGCTCTCGTCCTTTTCGCGATGTCTCGTACATCAAAACAACGTGATCGCGTTGAAGAGCCATATATGGATTGGAATGTGTTGTTCCCGCAATTCCATATTTGGTCAATCTTCGCGAAAGGCTTTCTAATTGGTTCCAATACCAAGGTGCAAATCAAATACGTGTGAATAGCTGTTTTCTTCACCAGTGAAACCACAAGGAACGAGAGAAGTCTGAGTCCGCGTCTCTCCAACGAAAGACAGTGCGAATCGAGTAGCCAAAAGGATACAACTCGCGCCGTCGGTTTAGGAACATTGTACCAGAGAAAACAAAGGATTAATAATAAAATAATCAGTCATCATATCACATAGGAATCTCCTTCTAGTTTTTTTCTTATTCCCGACCAGCAAATAATCTCACGAGAGAGCGATTCGGTCGCCAACTACAAATTCGTATAACTCGTGAACAAATTGGTCCTTCGAGCCGGATTTCGGGAGTACGGAGACTTGTAGTGTGAGATTAGTGAATGTGCTAGTAATACTGTTAGTTCTCCAATTGAACCTCGTTTTCGTGAGTTCTACTATATCTAGTATCTGCCGAGTCGATATTGTGTATTTAGTGAGACTCGTCCGTGGTTTTCTTGCGGTATCGTGAGAAGCGAGCGCGCGTTAGTATCGCGTCTCCGCTCGTTTTTCCGCACTCAGGTATTAGCATTTGCGTCTGAACCCTTCCGCCGGCTACATACTCGGTTGCCGCAATGCCGAAAAACTTCGCAAACTTACTCGCGCAACAGCACTTGACGATACAGCTGATTGCGCGCATCCTCACGAATTATAGAAAACTGGGCAAGGATAAATTCACAACTGTGAAGACTCGCTCTAGACTATCGGATCTTGATAAATTGTGGAGTGAGTGTCGTTCCTTGCACACTCAACTTCAACAGGCGGCTTCCGAGAAGGACCTGCGGCAGCACGAATATTTCGTCAACGAGGCTTTCTTCGAGGCAGCGACGGAGTACGAATCGTCAAAGGATGCGCTGATGGAGCTACTTCCTCAACAATCTTCGGATATCGCTTCCGTCAAACAGATCAACCCGGACGGTTCCTCGGCAAGTATCGACCCGCACGATAGTTGTAACTTCGCATTACCAAAGATTAAAATACCTCCATTCAACGGCGATTTGATTAAATGGGAAGGCTTCCGCGATTCTTTTGAAGCGTTAATTGACAGTAACTCTTCTTTGTCGGAAGTTTAAAAATTGTACTTTCTTCGAAGGCAACGCTGCGCTTTTGATCGAGCATATTCAAATATCCGATTTTAATTATAATGGTGCGTGGGAAATATTAAAAGAAGAATACGATTGTTCTCGTACGTTGATCATGGCTCATATTCATTCGTTTGCTAGTTTTCCAGTGATGAAAACAGAATCTGTAACTGAGTTAAAACGCCTACGAGATATTACAAACGCCTCGTTATCCGCGTAAAAACACTTGAAAAGACCGGTAGAACATTGGGATGATTTATTGGTCTATTTCCTAGTGCAGAAGTTAAGTGCGCGAACAAAACGCGAGTGGAATCTTCGATTGGGAATCTCAAAGGATTATCCCACTTACGCGAAATTAATCAAGTTCGTTACTGAAAGAATTCAAGGCTTGACTTTGCAAGAAGACAATATAGAATATTCTTCTTCCCGCGTTGCAAGCGAAAAGCCAGCGAAGAATAAATTTCATGTCTCGGTTCACAACGTGACTCTTCGAAAATGTGCCTGCTGTTCAAATAATCATTTTACGGTGTATTGTCCGAAGTTTAGGAAAAAATCGATCGATGACCGATACAGTGTCGCGCGTCAATCGCGTCTATGCTTTAACTGTTTAAAACTCGGGCATTTTCCGGCCAAGTGTAAGAGTGAGAAGCGATGTTCAAAGTGTCAACAATTGCACAATACATTATTGCATCGCGACTCCTTCTCACTTTCTTCGAATGCAGCTGCAGCAACTACTGCAACTACTGCGTTAGTAGTACCTGCATCATCCATATCGGCTAAGGACTCAGAGCCGTCGGATACGGCTGAGGTGCATTGCATTTCTTCGCTCAAATGTACCATACCGCACGAAAAGAGAATATTGCTAACTGAGTCTCCATCGGCCGTATTTCTCGCGACCGCGATAGTTAGACTGCGTACTTTGGAAGGAGGAGAGATCACGGTGCGGGCCCTCCTGGATCAAGGTTCCTCATGCAGTTTCATTACTGAATCTTTGGCCCAAAGATTACGCGCTCCGCGTCAGCAGGCAAATTTACACGTCTCCGGCTTTGGTGAACGCTACAACGGCGTTGCAAAATCATATATCATTCTCACGCTCCTTCCGGCCCACGCCCATAATCCTAAACTCCCACTCCGAGCATATATCTATCAAAAAATTACCGCTTATACCGCTACGAAATATCGAGCATTTGGAACGTGGCCACATTTGCGAAATTTGACGCTCGCTGATCCGGATCCCACGAGTCATGGATCCATTGATCTGCTCATCGGGGCTGACCTTTACGGAACCTTATTGCTTGGCGAGGTGCGCCGAGGTTTGGTCGGATCTCCGACTGCCCAGTCTACCGTCTTGGGGTGGATCGTCTCCGGCCCTGGAGATGCCTGCGGTTCGGATCGTGCAACACCTACCCCCGTACTGAATTGCGTCGCTACATCTGACGTCGACTCCTTATTAAAAAGGTTTTGGGAGCTTGAAGAAGTACCAGCAGAGCGCTCCTTCTCTCCAGAGGATGATCAATGTGAACGTCATTTTGTCGAAACTCACTCTCGGACGGCCTCAGGAAGATATATCGTTAGATTGCCATTCCGCGTTCAACCTCCTATCCCGATCGGGGAATCTCGCGACAAGGCGTTAAAGATCTATCGTCGCAATGAAAACCGACTGGCCATGATTCCGCTAGTTGCTGCGGAATATAATCAATTTCTCTCGGACTACGAAACCATGGGACATATGGAACGCGTTGACGATAAGGAAGCTCCTCGCTCGGCCTCTTATCTTCCCCATCATCCGGTTTTCCGTGAAGATAGTCTTACGTCTCATTTACGCGTCGTTTTTAACGCGTCTAGTATATCGTCAAACGGTACGAGTTTAAATGACCATCTACTTACTGGTCCAAAATTACAACAAGATATTGCTGCTATTATTCTAAATTGGCAAAAGCATCAATTCGTCTATATGGCGGACATCGCAAAAATGTTTCGCCAGATCCTAATTCACCGTGATGAAGCGGATTATCAACGCATCTTTTGGCGACCGCCGACTTCGCCGCATATTCTTCCTTTCAGATTACTGACTGTGACTTACGGAACCGCGCCTGCTCCCTTCCTAGCAATGCGAGTGCTTCAACAGCTCACTGAGGACGACGGCGAAGCCTTTCCCGAGGCTGTCCAAGTTTTGCGAAATTCCATTTATGTGGACGATGTACTATTTGGAGCCGACAACCTTGAAGAAGCACGAAAAATTCGAAGCCAACTGATCGCGTTACTGGAACGTGGTGGATTTCATCTAAGAAAGTGGGCACCTAACAATAGCTCTCTACTTGAGGATATCCCAGCTGGCGATCACGAGCTAGCTCGTGGTTTCCCTTTTGCCGACAACGAGTCGCTCAAAGTATTAGGTCTCTCGTGGTTTCCTAATGAGGATTGCTTTCGATTTCAGATCTCGAAACTAGAAAATACGGATCCTACGAAACGTGCAGTTCTATCATTCATTGCACGCCTCTTTGACCCTCTCGGTTGGGCCTCGCCGGTAATTATTACCGCCAAAATTTTAATTCAGGATCTATGGTTGCGAAAAATAGATTGGGACGCGTCGCTTCCGGAAGATTTATTACTGAAATGGCGAGCTTATTATGCAACATTTCCGCAACTGGTAAGTTGTCAAATTCCACGTTGGATGGGAACACATCGAGACTGCATTGCTTTGGAACTGCACGGTTTCTCAGACGCGTCCGAACGAGCATATTCCGCGGTCGTCTATTTGCGTTCGATGCATGAAATGAACGATATACGCGTCTCATTACTAGCGGCTAAGTCTAAGGTTGCACCTCTAAAGACTATTAGCCTCCCGCGACTTGAACTCAATGGCGCTCTTCTATTAGTTCGTTTGCTGGATTTTATTCGAACCTCTCTAACACTAAAGAACATCCCCATACACGGATGGGTTGACTCGACGGTAACCTTAGCTTGGATTTCGCAGCACCCCACCAAGTGGAAAACTTATGTCGCTAATCGCGTCTCCGAGATTCAAACAAAAGTACCAGAATTAAAGTGGCATCATGTTCCGTCGCGAGAAAATCCCGCAGATTGTGCTTCACGTGGTATTGCGGTGTCCGAGTACATCTCGCATCCATTGTGGTGGCGAGGCCCTTCATGGTTATCAAAACCATCCGTCTTCTGGCCGTCCTCGAATTCTACCAAAAGCCTCGATACAGTGGTTTAGGATGGACTACTCGAGGAAGCTTCCATTCATACTGG